GGATTGAAGTGTAAAGCATATTTTGCACGACTTTCAGGAATCAGGTCAGGAATAGATACTTTTTTGGTGACCAAAATGCCTAACATATTGAGTGTAGAGTGGATGATGCCCCAGGACAAATATTGATAGGACTGATTGTTCCTCAAGAATGTTGTGGAAATTTATTTTTAAACAAAAAACATATTTTGCTTTTTTAAAAGTTTACATTGATTTTCATTCTTCCCACCTCATAATAATAGCAAATGTCCTCAGTGTGAATAGAACAGTGCAGAGCAGAGCAGAGCAGAACAGAACAGAACATAAGCTCTCAATGTACATACAAGCATCAAATGATAAATCATGATCTTAATAATCACAAAATTCGTTCATCATAAATCATAAAATATAACAGTGATAATCATATAATGCTAAATAAGCAATCAACATAAATCATAACTGGATACTAAATAAAACAATTAATATAAATTGTAAGCTATAAGCAGCAAAGTTATAAGAATATAGGAAAATAGGTAATAGGAAAGATGAGAAGGATAATAATAATATAACCTTACTAGGTAGTTTGACTGTGTTGTGCAAATTTAGAAGAGTGATGGTATTGGTGGGGGGAGGGAACTGTCTAGTTGCTCTGATGTGCAATGCCGTATAGCAGTGAAGAGTAACCTTTCTGTCATTGCATGCCAAAAGAGAGTGTGACAGCGCACGTGTGTCCCACATAATGCAATGCACGCATGATCCCCCGCGTGCTCCCCCCCCACATGCAACTCCCTCAAGCCATGTTTTGGGTCTGGAAAGCCTCCTGTACCAACCTGGAAGCCAAAACAGGGCGCAGGGGAGAGCGCATGAGGCCGTCCCGTGCCATGTTTTGGGTCTGGAAAGCCTCCTGTACCAACCTGGAAGCCAAAACAGGGCGCAGGGGAGAGCGCATGAGGCCGTCCCGTGCCATGTTTTGGGTCTGGAAAGCCTCCTGTACCAACCTGGAAGCCAAAACGGGACAGCGGGTGCTGCGTGAGCCCCCAAAATGCAATGTGAGCTCCCCCTGTGCAAGGGCCCCTTCCCTCCGTGCATCCATGCGTCCCCTGCATACACCCCACCCTCCTGCACATGCGTAGCAGAGACCTGAAGACCAGCTGGCCGGCGAGAGGTGCACACATATGTGCGGTGGGGGTGGGCTGGGGAAATGGCTGGCGTGTCCGCAGAGAGGGCTCTGCATTCCACCTGTGGCCAACATGTGATAGGTTTACCATCATGGCCCTATAGCATCATGTTGAGAGAAGAAGTTGAAACAGTTTATGTCCAGAATGTGAGGGGGTCTGTAGATATTTTCACAACCCTCTTTCTGGCTGGTGCAGTGTACAGGTCCTCAATGGAAGACAGGCTGGTAGCAATTGTTTTTTCTGCAGTTCTAATTATTTTATCTAAGAATCAGAAATAACTGCAGCACCTTCCACCATACTCACAAACAAACAAAAAGGTGCCGAGGGATGCCAGTTTGCCCACACCTGCTTTACATATTTCCAGCATAGTGTATGCTGTACTTTATTATGCATTTTGCTAAGGAAAAGCTATTGATGTTTTGGCTGAACTCTACCGAAATGTGGAGCAAGCCACATTAAGGAGATTTCACTCTGTTTAATGTTGGTAGCTGCTCTTTCTGCTTCTCCTTGTGAACTAGCCTATCTTGTCCCCAGATAACCTTTATCCCAGGCAGACTAATCCATCCCATCCATTATGGCTGCGGTGACAACATGAACTTTAGCAGCTAGAGAAATTTGTTTTTCTAGGACAGCCTGGAAATCGTGTGCTTTCTAATGCTAGGAACGCACTGCCTTGTCTTTGTCATTTTAAGTGCACCTTAGGACACCAGTATAATTACTGTGTTCATCAGCTGTAGTAATTGGAAGCAAGAATGGTCATCTAAGATAGAGCACACATCACCATGGCAACCACACAGCCAGAGATAAGAAGTATCAGTAGTTGGAGAAGTGGAATCCCCAATTACAAATCATGAGCACTTGCAGTTTTAAAATATTTTTTCCCTTTCATTCCTTCAAATGTGTCTCCTAAGAGGGGTGGGGGAGAGCTGTAACATTAGTCAAAGATTGAACTGCAAGAATTCTCTTACTGCTAGGCAACTTAAGTGGAGGGGACATTTGTTTCTTTCTTTATTCCACCATTGAATTGGTTTGCAGAGATATGGATTCTTATATGTTTCAAGTTACTTGAAGAAGATGGGGAAGAAGATTGGGAAACAGTCTTGTCGATTAAAGGAAGACATTTCTTCCTTCTTTCTAGTGGCTTTTAGAGACATTTGTTTTACATTGTCACTTGAACAGCCCTTTCCCACAGATGAAACAGTTTGAAGGCCTCTTCCAAAGCAACAATCAACAGAAGAAACATTCTTCATATTTCTTTTCTACAACTAATTTTGTGGAAAAGAAGGAGCCCAGAGAAAAGGAATATTTGAAAAGGGATATAAAGAAAATGAGAAAGAAGGATGTGAAGTAACCATCCTCTGCTACCAAATGTGATGTTCCCGTGGGTCGTCCATGAGGCCAATGTTGACAAAAGACACGGACACAAGCTTTCTCGGGATGAGGCGACCCAGAATGGTAGCCCCTTTTATTGAGATAGGACAAAGGCAGGAGGAGCAATCAGCAATCAGCATGTGATTAAAAACAGCCTGTCAAACTACAATTTCTAATCTACTGCTCAGGGAAGTTCTGTCTATATATGGTCAAATCCTGGGCGTCATTGGTAAGGCACATCTAGAGTGGACTATCAGGATGTTATGTTATGAACAATCAGGATGTTATGAACTTGTAGGAGTTTGTTTTTTCCTATGTGGCTCAGCGTGGATACGCATGCCCTATTATGCACTGGGCCATGGGTGACCCACACCTACACAAAGAGTTATATTACAACAGAAGGAGGCTATTAATGGTTGCTAGCCTACAATGGTTGCACACAACCCTTCTGGCTCTGATTACTACACCCTTTGGCATAGAATAACAGAACAGAATAACAGAGTTGGAAGAGATCTTGGAGATCTTCTACCGCTGATCAAGCAGGAAACCCTATACTATTTTTTTAAAAAAATGGTTGTTCAATATCTAAAAATCTCCATTCTTGGAGCACCCATACTTCTGGAGGCAATTCATTCCACTGATTAATTATTCTAAATGTCAGGAAATTTTTCCTTAGTTTTAGGTTGGTTGTTTTCTTGATTAGTTTTCATCCATTGCTTTTTATCTTACATTTAGGTGCTTTGGAAAATAAGTTGACCCCCTCTTCATTGTGGCAACCCCTTGGATATTGGAAGACTGCTATCATGTCTCCCCTAGTCCTTCTTTTCATTAACTCAACATACCCTATTCCTGCAACTATTCTTCATATGTTGTAGCCTCCAGTTCCCTGATCAGCTTTATTGCTCTTCTCTTTATTCTTCCTGGAGTCTCAACATCTTTTTTTTAAAATATCGTGAACACCAAAACTGGATGCAATATTCTAAGTGAGGTCTTACCAAGGCATTATAAAGTGGTATTAACACTTCATGTGTTCTTGATTCCATCCCTCTGTTAATTCAGCCTAGGAGTGCATTGTGTTTGTTATTTTAAGTGTACCTTAGGACACCTTAGTTTTCTTCCCAGACAGAGCTTCTCAGTTGGCTATGAATGCTACATTAATTCAACAAGGCCCGACACTCATCTAAACCAACATACTACTTCACCTGTGCTGTGGCATCTACAGGATGCCAGTACTCATGGCCCCTGCAATACAAGTGCTTCCTCTTTTCTCCATGCTTCACAACATCTTTCTCTCATACACACAGTGTGATAGAATGATGCTTTCATTACTTTTTAAAGCATTCTGATAGAAGGAGAAAGATCCTGTGCCCACAACTGCCCAGGATTTTTCAGCATCAATCGAAAGCTGGTACCCCAAAAAAGCAAGAGGGAAAGAAAAGATGGGAATGAAAATAGCACTTCAGCCAACTGCATTGGTTCAGTCAGCACAGCTCCCACTATTTGCTGAACTATTTGGAAGCTATATTGCTACGCTTTCCTTATTGTGATTAGCTGGGCCTTCAAAGAAGTCCTAGCCAAATACATATATCACAGGTCTATTGTGGTGAATTCCTTCAAGATATCCAAGCTTCTCACTATAGAAAGAGGTGTATTACAGTTAAAACCCTTGAATGTACTAAAAGAGGAAAAGGTAATTCAAACATGGTTTCAGTATGGACAGTTACAGGCCAGATGGAAAAAAGATCAAAAAACTGGTTTTACGTAAAATGAGGATAATTTACTAAAACAAATTAGGGATCAAAGTCAAATGCATACAAAAAGGTTATATAATGTATTAATAGAA